ACAAATGCTTATTATTGTGCTTTGGTGTTGGGCTCTAGACCTGTCTCTTGCCTTTTTATCTGACTCGGGTGGTAGTAATATCTTATCTGCTAAGAGGGAATGGAGGATCAATGGGAAATGTGATTGTATCTTATTTGATGTTCAAAAAAAGTAATCATTAAGGAACGTGTAACTGACCCTTAACTTGTGTCTAAACTTGCAAAAGAATTCTCATCTTAGGCTGTAGTCTTGTCTCTCTGGAGACCGAATGGTACCTTGTTTTTGGTAACAATACAGCTACATTTTTACCCACATGACATATTTTTAAAAGCAAGAGTCTTTCTAAAATTTGTGCCGTAGTTCAAACAAGGATTAATTTGGAAAGTCTGTTATGCTGGAGGTCTGATGAGACAAATCATTGTGACCCCTTCTGGCTTTATAATTGATGAATGTATTAATTATACACATTTGTATATATATAATATATATGTATATATATATAACACATTTGATATGGTTTTTAATACTTTTTTGAAGTTGCAACCCCTTTCAACATTTTCATTTGACCAGTACTTAGAAAAAAGAATCCAGGCACATTCTTGACTCAAAAAGGAAAGTCTATGGCCTGATGGATGTTGCATTACTGTAGTGTGACTCGGAAGAAGGCAGACCCATCTCTGCCACTGGCCGTTGTTCCATCTCAGCTGTGTGTTCTTGGGAACCCTGGCACAGGATGCAGTCTGTCTGCCTCACCCCCTCCTCCCTCTGCTCCTCTACATAAATGAAACTGATTAAGATGCAGTGAGAGACACACCTAAGACCCTCCAGATAAGGGTGACAAGAGTGAAACAACTGCCCTAGGTCTCATTTGCATCCGAGATGGAACCACATGACCATTCATTTACATGAGAGATGGAGAACAGAAAGCCTGAAGCAGAGACTGCAGTGAATTCTGGGACCAGAGAAGCAGGGGAGCACTGCATGATGGGGAATCTGTGCTCCAAATGTTAATCAACCCATGTTCACACACACCCAGCTCAGAATTTATCAGACCAGTTCTAATCTGGATTTACTAAGGACTTTCCCACCCCCCAGACACACACACACCTCTAAGTTTAATAGGCATCTCGGGCCGTACATTCCCCGGTCCCACTATGGGAGGCCTATTTAAACTACATAGACTAAAACTCGGTTGCCGGGTTAGGGAATGCTGAGGCAAGAGACCGAGTCAGAAGGGGTATGGGCAACATTTGAACAATGGTAAAAGGTTCATCACAGCGTCCAACCCGTTGGAGCCCTAATCACAGGTGTTGCCATACTTTTCCCGAGACGACTGGTGGGAGTCCTCTCCACAAAAGGTTATGAGCACCCCAATAATTGTCTTAAGTCTGTTAAAAGACTATAGTGAAATCTGGAAAAGTCATGCTAAGCTGAGGCTTGTGCACAACAAGTAAAAATCCAAAATCCTGATGCTGCAAGCTATCTATTGTTCCTGAAGAAACCATGAGATATCCCATCAGTATATCTGCCACCCATAGGAATCTCAAGCTGGCTCCCAAGTATTTGGGTTACTCCCTAATCTTAAGTGTTTCCTGATTATCAATCAGTTTCCTGAGATGGTCCAAACCAGATAACCCCTTGTCAATAGAAAAGACAATGATTTACACTACTGAGGGTGCTACGGAGCAGCTGAACTGAGGGTATAAAAATCTGTAAGTGTGTGTGCTGCTAGAAGAGGAAAAGGAAGGAAAAGAAGTAGAAGCAGGAGGAAAGAAGGAGAAGAAGAAAACCCCTGTGCTGACACCATCCCCTGTCGTTCTTGGGACGCTGGAAGAACAGATCATCTCTCCCTTCAAGGACTGTGCTACAGACTGTGCCTGTCAGCTTTGCAGCCTGAGTACCGTGGACTAGGTGAGATCCCAGCGTTCTCTGTCTTCTTTCTAGGCATAAACTTCTGAACCTGAACTTAACTTTTAGTCAAACTGGTAGTAACTGGGTACATTTTTCCTTCTCTGCTTCTCTTTCCTCCCGTGCTCTGCAGCAACGCTTCTTTTACCTAAGCTAAAGATCCCTGTGAAGCCCAAAAATACTGTGGGGTCTGCTCATCAAGAGGCCAAAGATTGGGACGTGCTGAGTTGAAACACATAAAGGGATCAGCTTGTACAGGCTGATTGACCCAGTTTGACTCAGACGTGCCCTTATGAACTGAATGCTGGCCCATGAGGGTGTCAGCTGGACACCGCTTGTGTCTGACTGCAGTTTATTGTTGCTCTGATGAACTGATTCTTGGCATATGAGGGTGTCAGCCTGTCCATGCTGATCAACCCGGCCAGGTCAGGCGTGTCATGTTAATTTGTGTGTGTTTGTGTGTATGACTGATTTGGTGACTGGAGAAACCCAGCCCCATTGAGACTGAGTCCTGCAAGATAGCTCCATTGGGAGGTGAGGGCTTGCAGAAGGGAGAGATACAGCTCTGTATAGTAACACAAGCAGCACATTGACAGAATTACCAAGACCCTAGAAATATATCCCTAATAAATGAGCACACCCCAAAGTGATGGGCAAATCTGGTAACACCATCTGTGTGACTTTACTTAAACTCTACAATGTCTTCTCCTCTGCCTCCCCGCCCCTCCCCCCCGCCCCACATCTGTTTACATTGTATATTCTTTGTTGCAAGGATTCTCTCTCTCTGGCACAATGGGATCCTAGTCTTAGTTGGTATCATGGTTGTTCCTGTGATATAAAGAATATCCCTCCCGCATACTTTTTCCCCTGGGATATCTGAAAAAATTCTCTTTACTGACTGCATAAGCATATTTTTTTGGAATGGACAGGTAAAATATTTTGATCAGGTTCATCGTCACTATCATGGAAAGTTTGGCTGAGTTGACTTTATACTCAGGCTGGTAAATATTCATAGATTTCATAGACATTAGGGCTGGAAGGGACCTCAAGTTACTCTTGCAACTTCCTATTGCAGAACAGAGGATCAGAAATCAGTGAATTTCTTTGTAGTCCAGAGACGAGTTAGAAAGCACCCCTCAGTGAGAAAAAGAGTGTGTGCATGAGAGAGAGAGAATAAGATGCTGTCATCATCATCCACTGCACCTGAGGCTCTGGAACACGACCATGTCAGACAGCCAAAGCCTCAGACAGCTTTCATAACCAATAAAAAACTGCTGACTCTTACCAATAGGAATCCAGCAGTCTTGGCAGCAGAGAATAATTTGGTTGTGTTGCATTAAGCACCATTCAAAAAGAAACTGATAGCCAAGCAGATATCATCGCTGATAGCCAAGCAGATATCACTTGCTATTTTTGCATCGGTGTTTACAAATTAAAGCATATTATGTACCCTCTTTTCCTGCTATCTGGTACAATGTCTAATTTTATGCTTTTCAGATAAAGCCTGTCATTAGATTTATCATTTCATTCAGATGGATTCAAGTTAAAAATGATCAAAATTTCCTAAATACTCATTTTCATGTGTAAATATAGATGGGCTGTAGTGAATAGTTTAGTTTGCATCAGTTTCACTCCCTTTTGCCAATGAGGTCAGACAGTTTATATTTTTGGTTCTATTTGATAATTTGTGGATGGTTACTATTTATACATTGCAAACCACTCCTCGCAAGTTGACACCAAGGCTGATTTGCTTCACTCTGAAAGCATATAGGTGCCTTAAAATTGGCTTCAGTGTAAAATGAGAATCAATACCAAAGACTTTTAATTACTTAGAATGACATTCTCAAAGCCTGTTTACATGGACAAGGCATTCTTTTCCTCTAGGACTAAGATCCAGGCAACTCCACCATCTGCTCCCTCCAATGCAGGGTTTGGGACCTACTGACCAGTATGGAACATAAACCCAGTGGACATGCCTGTGCCACACTCCTGGCTTACAACCTCATTGCTTGTATAAAGCAGGTCCCTATAGGTTTGGCTTCTGGAGATGTAATACCTCCTGCATCATCTATAGGTTTGGCTTCTGGAGATGTAATACCTTCTGCAGCAGCTTGGTCCTGGTTCAACCTAGTCCCTACAGCTAACAGAATTTGGTATTTGTTTCCTTTAAGTCTACAATTATTAAGCAGTTATTAGTTTGGAGGCAACACAAGACTCTCAACTGTAAGCTTTGAAAGCAAACATTTTGTGCTGTTTCTGCAAAAGCAAAACCCCCACTTCCTTTCAAAGTTAATGGTAAACCCTCCATTGATTTATGTAGCACTAAACTGAACTAAGAGTTTGAATTTTTCAAGTTAAAAAGAGGTCTGAATGGCCAACTATATGAACATGGCAACTTTTTCATATAGTTTAAACTGCTGATCTTTTTTTTCCAAGATAATTTGATAACAGCAATACAATTAATCCAATTTAATGTCACCATCACACTGTCCCACACATTTTTTGCTATTATCCAGGATTCTCCAGTAAGTAAGCTGACCTTCCTTAGCTCAAAATCATCTCAGACAAACAGAGGTATATATTTTCATTTCTGTAACATTACACAATGAAATTGTTAATTCCAGCCTGTTGGGTTTGGGTTTTTTTTTTTGTTTTGGGTTTGTTTTTTGTTTTTTTTTTGGGGGGGGGGGGGGGGGGAGGGCATGGATTAGATCCCACGACAAAGAAGAGTTCTCATAAGGGAACTGAAGGAAGATAATGAAGTAGTTTTGCTGATCCTAATGGAAAGCTCCTCCCAAGTGGGAAGAGTAGCATAAAGGAAAAAAGAAAGGGATCTTTCAGGTCTCACAATGGTAGCTGGTATCATGAGATGTTTGGAGCCAGACTCAACCTTTCAAAACTAAATGAAAGATGATCTCTATGGTGGGGATGGTGTGTCAACAGCTTTGACAGTGAAGACAAGCTGTCTTTGTCCTGATGTGCTTGAGAAGAGAAGTGAAAGGAAGTCTAGATAAGGGTGATTGGTTAAAACTGGTGGGCCACTGGTTCATGACTCTTTATTCACATTGAGAAGACCCAATGAAAACACCTGTGTTATTTGCATTAAACTTTATTGACATTGCATTCAAAAACAAGGAAATTCCCACTCAACTCTCCTCTGGTGGCATAAAATTACTGACTGTGGGAGTGATTCAGCTCAGAAATACCTCTATTGAAGTCAATGAAACACCAGCTTCTGTTGGCAAAGCTCCCAAGCAGTGGATCAGGGGCTCCTGGTAGTCCTTGAAGAGTTGGCTGGTCAGGTGGAAAGGGGAAAAGATAGGAAAAGTAAAGTAGGCAGCACATGTATCTACACCAGGCAAATGAATGAAGTTTTAAAAGATATTAACACATTTTCATTAGCATGTTTTTAAGTACCACTGTGACATTAGCAAAAGTCTATATATCTGTACTAATCAGCGAAGTCATTTTAGTTGTGTGAAGGCCATTTTGAGTGTAGAACTGTTCTGTGTCCTTATCTTGGCCCTGTAGACTCCATATTGAGCTGAAATACACAAGGCTTCAGGAGCACCAAGCAGAGGTCTAACACTGGACTGTGGTTCAACCTGGAATAATTCCCCACTGCAAGCAAAGCATCCTTAAAGAACCGGGTACTCACCTGGGAAACCTGTTCTCCTTATCAAACAACAGATCATAAAATGCGAGAGTTTGACCATTGGATGAGAGTGTGAGGATAACCAGGGAGGTCACCTGATGAGAGGGATCTGGACAGTATAAAAGGGCAAAGTTTGCTTTGAGTAGTTTGCATGGTAAGATCCTGATTCTTGGCTCCATAAACAAACATTATCCAACTCTCCATACTCTCCCACACCTGCCTTTGGACTGAGCTGAAGGGCTGGAGACATTACCTGTGCAGATGCAGCAGAGCTCAGAAACATACTTACACCAGTGGGTTCGATTACAGGTACCTGGTATGTGTCCAGCAGAGGGAGGATGCATAAAATAGCCCGTAGTGTACACAAGGTCCATCAAGTTCCAAAGCATGTTAGCTCATCATGGTTATCCATTTTTTAGACAGCATCATATGACCAAATCATTATCCTTGGCTACTTCAAGCTTATTGTAAACATTTCAGCTTTGCTGTGCACTGCAGTATGGAGAGGCCTAGAAGCCTGCAGTGTTCATACAAGGGGAGTTCTGCCTGAATAAAGATAGCAGAATTGTGGCCATAAAAGGCAGTGAAACCCTTTAATACTATGGTCACCTCATGCTGCCATCTAGCAAGCATTTAAGCACATGCTTAAGTCGCAGTATTCCCCCATGACTTCATCTGGTCTTAAGCAAACACTGAAACTTTCAAATAACACGTTTAAGTGCTTTCTGAATTGGAGCCCAATTTCTTCATGGAGTAGCCTGGGGAGGAATGTCTTCAGCATGTTATAGTTCGCCCATAGGTGTTTTGTTTATTGTGCCTTGAAGTTGTGTATGAGGGATTGAGGTGGCAGGTTGGGGAATTCCTCAAGTTAACAGTTGCCTGCAAATGCAGAGAGCTCCAATGGATGGTCTAAAAGACCGCTTCCAGTTCTTCCTTCCTGTGTAGCAGAGGGCATGTCTTTGAAGCAGGCTGCTAGGGAGCTTGCAGCCTACACATCTTCCTTTGCATCAATGCTATGTCTGCAGTTGGAATCTAGCCCTTGTTTGTTTGTATAGTTTGTGTACAGTCTCCCTTCCAGTCATATCAGTGTCATTGCTACTTCTGGAGATGAGACTCGCCAAGAAAAGACATCTGAGAGTTTGTAACTGAATGCCATGCTGCATCATTCCCAAAGCATTTTAAGGCAAAGATCACTTTCCCAGCCTGTAACAACCATGACTGGCAATTCTAGAAGCTGAGCCCATCAGTATGACTGCCTAGTAGAAACTACTGATTGGAGATTGGAATTAATCTCTGCAACTCTCTGTGCTCATAAAAATTAGTTATCATTAAAAGGAGCATTATACAGTGTTAGGGGAGGAGTCTATTTATAGCAAAATAAATAATCCAGAAAATACTGATTTCTGTATTACACAGGTATAACTACAGAAGAAAATCCAATTCGGTAATCATAGGGTTTCTACAGAAATTATTGCAAAGGAAAGATGCAAAATGTGTGTTGGGATTTGGGTTAGGTAATTGTCAACAAAATGCCCCAAATATAGTTGTTTTGTGTGTATGTGTGGTGGGGGGAGATGTTGGCCTGGGGGATCAGGCCAACACTCAGGATCTCAATATTGCACTGTTAGACAGGACGATGTGACACAATTGCACATATACAAAACACACACAAATCAATTAGGTGCATACACAAATGCACACGCACATATACAAAACACACACAAATCAATTAGGTGCATACACAAATGCACACACACTACCAGCTCAGGCACATACACATCCAAACCAGCCTAGGCACATGCATACTTATCACCAATTCAAGCACATAAACTATACACCCCAAAAGTTAGACACAGATCACTAATTCATATATCATGCACACAATGCCATATATATCACATGCACACATACATATATATATACATACATATATACATACACACACACACACTAGCAACTCAGATACACACACGTTCAAAATAACCAGTCTAGGTTCATGCGCACCTATCACCAGTTTAAGCCCATACACGCTACACACACCACATTTAGACAGAATCAGTTACCAGTTACCAACACCTCCACATCCAATACACATACATGGATTACTAATTCATATACTACACACACACACACACACACACACAATGATATCTATATATGTATATATATGTGTATTCACTAATTCACACACATACCACCCACCTACACATACACACAGGTGAGTTCCTAAGTTGGGTGTTGTGATGTGTATGTATGTATATGCTTGGTGTACTTGGGATACCTGGGGAAAGGTTAAGATAAGAAAGTAGAAGTGTAGGGAGTGAAAGTTACCAGGACCGGGATTAGAACTGGTAGACTAGAGGGGGCTGGGCTGAAGAACTGAGGCTGGGGGGTAACTTTAGGTTAATTGATCTTAATTGATTAAAAGACAATGTCCAAAGGGAGCCAGAGGATGGCTCCGGGGCAGCTAGAGAAGTTGCAGGGAGCAGCAGTAGGTGCTGGAAGCTGGAGAGAGCTAATAGGAGCTGGGAAGCTACAGCGGGGGTGGAGATTACAGAAGGTGCAGAGGAAGCCTGAAAACAGAGAGACGGACAGCAGAAAAGCAGCAGGCAGCAGGGACAGCAGGAAAGCAAGGAGAGGCTGAGAGGTGGCAGAAAAGGGAAGATGGAATTGGGAGGAGATCGGGAAACTAGCAGAGAGGGTGGGAACTGGAGCTGAGAGAGAGAGAATGAGGCTGGAATTTAAGATAGGGAAGGGACTGGGATTCAGTAAAACATGACCCAACTTGGGGTTGCAAATGACAGTGGTTTTATTGAACAAGGGAGATGGTGACACAATGCCAAATTGGTTCCCTTGCACCCACACACACACAATGGCAGCAGGGGTTAAAGAGGCTTGGTGCAGGGGCTGAAGTCCACTGAAGTCCAGAAGGAGAGACAGACAGAGAGAGAGTCCAAATTCTAGGAGGAGGTATGCAAGTAATATCTACCTATGCAGGCTGGAAGGGGTCCTTGTCCAGTAGGTGTTGTCC